AAACAAAATTCTCAAAGAGGAAAGAAAAGAAAAACTTTCATGGTCATAAGTTTTAGAAAAGCCAAGGGCTAGGCAAATCTGACTTATCACTTGTTTCTTGTATCTCTCTGCTCATGCATGCTGATAGCACAGCTTGGGGGATGTTTACCACTTCATTTTTATTAGATGCTCAGAGGAGTTAGAGAGGCAAATTAGAATATCTGGTGCACTCCTCTAGTTTTAGAAAGTCGAAAGGAACCTTCTTATAAATCACACACCTCCTAAAAGCACACACGGATCTAGATAGCATTCGAAGCACTTCTTACTTGGTCCTACCTTTAATCTTGATGAAGCCATTGGGCATCATCACCTTCCTTCATAAGTTTACACTTAAGAATATTCAGTTTTATAAAGGTTGTATATATTGTTTACCAGTTGCAGAGCAAAGATTCCAACACTGTTCTCAGCTTTGTTCTTTCCCACAGTGTAAAGATCTCTTGAAAGAGCAACTCAACCAAACAGCCTCTCACACATAATCACATTCAAGTTTTTCATGAAAATGTTTATCTTCAAAGACAGTCCTATTCTTCCCATAGAGAGTTATTGTACCGTTTAGCAGCCCCTTCAAAGGTACCAAATTCCTCTTTATGTCTACATTCATTTTAAATGCCTTCCCAAGGTCTTTCTCTTTTGTCTTTTTCTCCATTGAAGGGAAACTTTTAGGCATATCAGCTACAGAATATGGTAGATAGGAAGGAAAATTCAGTTCTCAGATCTTTATATTCTGAAATATTCTAATATCAAATGACTTAATGCCAGAATCACAGAACTTTCGGATCCACGCTTCATACGCACTGTGTTTGATTATGAAAGGCCCCAGCCTTTCATAATCAAATATTACCATCAAGTCCCACGAGGAAGAGACTTCTTTCTTCAAAATTATATTTTCTTTAAAATGGAAAGCTACCCTTAGAAAAATGTGAACAACTAATTAAAATGGATCAAAATTGTATTCCTAGATCTCAGTGGTATTTTATTTTTGTATCTCTATAGATGTAGAATAATGAAAATCTATCTTAAAGGAAAATTTGGCAGAGCATTTTTGCATGTCTTATATAAAAGCATCTTTGTTCCTTGATTTCTCCCATAGCCCTAATTTTTTAATTCAAGAAAAAAAAAAAAGGACTGGAAATGGTAACTCCACTGTCAGCTAGGTAAACTTACAACATGCTGCCTTAATTTCCAGGAAAGCTGACTTCCCCATACCTGTTGGTAAGAAAAGGTTCAACACCAAGCAAACCACACATTGAATGGGCTTTCCTGCCATAGAATAAAGTGCCAATGGCAGTGCTGGCAGCTTCCATTGTAACTGCAGCAATGGGAATCTGAGAGAGCTTGGGAATGAGATAGACACGATGAAATTTCCTTTTATTGTGCGTTTTTGGTATCTAATCTTGGTAAACTTGCAGCCAGAGCTCCCTTCTAACAAAATGGGCTTCTTCAGGCCTCTAGGCATTTATCTCTACCTCTGCCCCACCTCCATTCATGACAGAGCTAACAAGCTGTACTGTGGCCAAAAGGCAGGCAGCAGAGAAGAAAAGGGGAAAAAGCAGAATGTGTCTCATTCCAGACTCCGACTAATTGGCATCTGGATAATTAAAGGCTGGCTTTAAAAATAACCAACACCTAATAGAGACTCTGTGATGAACAGGGCTCAGGGAAGAGCTCTGAAAAAAATTTGGAGCATTTATCAACTAGTAAAACTTCAAGGCTGTTGGCTAAAAGTGAGATGGAGGCAGATATCCCCAATAGGAGAGAGGAAATTAGCAGCAAATGGTCTAATAGTTAAAGGGTAAAAAAAAAATCAACTTTCACTTCTAGTGAAGAGAGGGTGGGTATTTGGCTGTTTGAATAGTCTTGATGCCTTATTCACAAGAGACCCTTTACTTTTTTTTAAAGCTTGCATTGTGTTCCATTTATGTTATATAATAAATACCTATATAATAAATATCTATATGTAAACTAATGTTAAAAACCTGTGCAAAATATTTGTTTGGCCGTGTCTCAAGGTTCAATTAAAGTGGAGGGTGACAGCAATTACCCAGATTTAAAGGAAAATTGTCTTACTTTTGTGTATATTAACAGGCAAGTTCAACCCAAAGTTACCCTTGATTTTAACTCCAACACCTAAAAATCATTGAGTAAAAATGACCTACCTATATTTGATCGGTGTTAAAAGACCCATCCTCTAATTCAATACCCAATAATAGCATATAGTTACCATGCAGATAGATCATTCACAAAATATATAAAGTATTTATGAATTAATACCATTAATAAATAATAAGAAAAGGCAATTGCCTAAATACACCTTGAAGTGATGACCTCTTTAATAGCCTTGCTAGTTTACGTGATAATGCTTTGGAAATTATCATGTTTAGACTTGTGCATCTGTATAGTCCTTGGTTATCCTTACCAAAAAGCCTCAGGTTTATGGTGGAAAGCACTTCTGAACTGATGCAAAGAGCCTACAGGAAGATCCTATCTCTTGTCAAAAGAACAACTGTTCTCTGAAACAATTTGCTGTCTGCTTTTATACCCATGGTGAGAAGTTCAAGAAACTCTATGTCAAATGGAAGTTCTGTGGCATTTCTGCTTAGATCAACTGAGTAAAATGACCCCAAGAAAGCTGTTCAGAGGGCTCAGGATTGTTGGCCAAGTGTGCCATTATCTTTTGGGAAGTGGTTGTCAGAAAATGGTTGGTCCTAGACACACAGCAAATGGACTTCTGTTACTGAATCTTGAGAAGATTCACAACTCACAGAAAAGAGATGACTTTTAAGTAGAATTTATCTCCTGAAGAATTTGTGGTCTCAAGGTATTTCTTTTGCTCTCAAATCCCCCAAACTCGGGGGTCTACTGAGAGAGAGTGTCTGAACTACAAGATAGGGTTCCTGGAGCCTGGCCTAGCATTGCTACTTGCAAGTTGTGCCCTTGAATTATTCATCTAGTCTCTTTCAATTTTTTTTTTAGTTCTAAAATAAAGAGGTTCAACTATTTGATTTTTGAGGTCACTCAATCTCTCAGAATCTCGTGTTTTTACATTAGTGTATAATTACCCTATGATCTCAAAAGCCAAGGTTGCTAATGTTGAATGACTTAGCTTACAAGATAAAATAATAAAGCTGCTGGTGACAGTCCTTTCTCTAGATTGTGCTGTCCATGTTTGGGGTTTAAGAGACTTCTCTCTGGGAAGAGGCCCTTTCACCCTACTCTCTTTTGAAAGAAAATAACAAGATAGAAACCATTATAGCAAAATAAAAGTGCAAGACGGAGAGTCTCCATATTCTTTCCTTTCTTCCATTTGACTGAAGTCTCTGCTCCTGTGTTGTCACTGAGCCTGGCCCAGGTCACCTGACTGATTTCAAGTAATGTTTTAGGTCACCTTTTATAAACACCTGAAATCTCATAAAAGTCTCAAAACCTGTTTACCATACTTGAGTAGGAATCAGGCACACCTATTCAAATTGTATATTCAGAACAGTCCAGAAAAATCCATGTACTGTTAATATATAACTAAAAACCTAAAGGGAAAAAGTGGCTAGTAGTTGCAAGTATAAATGCTCTTCTTTGGTCTATTTTTTCTACATTTCACTATTTTTTACAATATGCAAAATAGATGGTACCGAAAGGAGTGAACAGCGTATTATAATGAAGCAGAACTCAATCACTGGCCGGAGTCATAGGCCAAAGAAATGCTTAATTTCTAATAATTCCACATCCCAAGAAAATGTCTCCACAATTTATAGCTTAAGATAATTAGATCTATAGGTCGCTGCTTAAGGAACATGCCTGTCTTTAGAAAAATCCAGAACCCAGTTAGTTATAGAAAACAGGAAGAAAACAGTGCTTACAACATTCAGTCCTCAAGATTTTGTTTGGACTCTTGATTCAATGATACTAGCTAAAATCTATTGATAGGATGCAAGGCTCTCTCACCTACCCCTTTATGCTAGGTTAACTACACAATTACTTGAGAAAAATTACCAATTACATACACAAAGTAGCAAAAATTTTTTAGTCCTCCTTTATGGGTCTTTGAGCACATATTGTCAGTGTGCTGTTTTTTATAGTGAGACATAGTTATTCTGTGAAATTTTTCTAAAAGGTAAAAATGAGTAAGTTATGCCTTTAAGAATGCTTTAGAAAGAGCAAACACAAAACTTTCATTGTCCCTGAATCTTTCTGAGAATATCTCGAGACTCCTGGTTCTTTTTTGGGGAGCCAGCATCATTCCTAGCCCAGAAATTTTCTTCTTTGTTAGCATTCATGAAGTATGAGAAATTTCCAAGATACACAGTGGGCAGACACTCTTGTGTATGAGACCCCATGCTGGTTCTGTCTTTGCTTGAGTCCAAGACAGGGGCTTTGCCAGTCCACTCGCGTTGAAACAAGCCAAGCCAGATGACACCTGTGAGTTGATGAGATTTGGGAGAGAAAGCATATTTAACACATGACCTTCTTAATATCATTAATGCCCATTGTCAGCTTGCCAGATTAGGGAGGGAGAAGGACTGGCAAGTCTCAGGGTCCTGGAGTGGCTCTTGGGCTACTGCCCATGGATAATTGCTATTCTTTTTCCCCCTAGTTCCATTTGGCTTAGTTCCTAGGGCACTAGATATTCATGCTAGTGTTTTCCCATGGAAACCTTAGCAGAGTTAAAAGTGATACAGTATTCGCTGGGTAGAAGGAAGAGGGTTGGTTTTAATTTTTGAAATCAAATATACTTCTTGTTAAACAGAACTAAGGATTGAATAGTGTACATTTCAGTATCACAGAAAATACATTTTGGGTGTTCTCATCACCAAAAATATCAGATTTAAAGGGTAATAGGTGTATTAAATCAAACATTATTTTGTAATTCATGAGTATGTATAACTACAATTTGTCAATATATAAAGTAAAATTTCAAATGCAACAAAAATGACATTGAGCAAGACATCTTTTAAAAAATGAATTCTGTGTTTGCTTCAGCAGCACATATACTAAAAATGAAATATTTCAGGGAAGGTTAGCATGGCCTCTATACAAGGATGACTTGCACATTTTGTAGTAGTCCATGGTAATTAAATCAGAGACTGAGCCCGTAGCTCAGTGGTAAAGCACTTACTTAGCATGCACGAGGCCCTACATTCAATTCTGTGTCACAGAAAAAATATTATTCAGAACGTGTACATTAGAAACCACCCCTGGCAGGCAGAACAGTTATCATATAAAGCTCCCCCTTCCCTGGGAGGGAGTTTTGGAGGGGCCTCAGGTTTCATCAGTAAAAGGGTTTAATCTTATTCTCTTCTAAGGCTTCTGATAGGATTAGATGAACTCGTTTAAGTCAAACATTTAGAAAAATGCCTGCCACATAAATGCTGCATTTGCATACATCTGAAATTGTATCTTAGAATTCCAGTGCTTTGACTTTGGGTATTTGATGACAGTAAACAAGTAAGCCATATTTCACCACACTTGACTCCCTAGCTAGTATTTACATAGTTTGTCTTTGACCTGTGAAAATAATCATTCGTTTTCTCATGTGAGAGCAAGGATGGAGGCAGGGGGTGGATGAAACAATAACAGATGCCTGACCCCTGACCTTAGAGACTTACTTGTCTCTTTGGGACGATTCAGAGTGAGTAAGGAAGCAATGCAGCCCAGAAGAGACCACACAGTGTTAGGTTGTGATAGGAACCTTAGAGAAGATACTGGAAGTAGGACGAGAGCATAAAGATAGCAGGTCTTCAGTAATGTTGAAGGCAAGATGAGGCAACTCTAAGGGGAGCTGTGTAGATTGTTGCACAAAGAGCATTGTAGACTGAGCACCAGAGCAGTGGAGGGGGCAAGACAGGAAGTGCCATCCAGGCATCAGGAAGGCTTCAGCCAATGAGAAAGGAGAACTGTAGAATGCCAACAAAAGACGTTATTATAAGCAAGACACCCTACATTTCCTAAAGATCCCTTTAGCTGCCACGTATGAATTGAAAGGAATTGTAGACAGAGCTAGAGGAATCTACATCAGGAAGCTGGTAGCATGGACCAGAGCACTGGCATTGTGGTGTGGAGAGGCATGGTTTGGGAAGAGGCTGAGAATGAATCAGCAGAACTTGCTGCAAGTACACTGGGCCCATATTATGAAAGGAAGAAGAAAATCAAAGCTATGAAGTCCTTACCTTAGTACTTAAAATAATGAATACCAAGTCAGTGAAATCAAAGGAACAGTCTTTACCTACTTAACAGCTGATTGACACATAGTGCAGCTAAATTACCATCTACCATGAATCACAGGACAGCATCAAGTAGATGTGCAAACAATAATTCAGAAATTCTTTATTTTAGGAGGCTCCTCACTGAGTATGAGAACACTGGATGAGTTTCAGAACCTTTTCTCTTTGCTAGGTTTCCAGTTGCCTTGACTTTCACATTAAGTTCCCCAACCCTTAAAACAGTGTAGCTCTACACAGTATGCCATATATTTACGAAATTCATTAGAAGTCAAAATCTTAAAGCTTTAGATAGCCTTCAGTAGTAATTTTATATTATGGGAAACTTGAAGGATTTGTCTTGTCTCTTAGCTTGAG